GAATGGGAATACCTTCAGCTAAAATTTCACAGAAATCTCCAAAGGCTATTACGGAAAACAGTATGGAAGTTTCTCAAAAAACTAAAAACAGAACTACCATACTAACCCAGCGATCTCACTACTGTATATTTATCCAAAGAAAAGAAAACCAGTGTATCAAATAAATCAGTATATCAAAGAGATTATCTGTACCACCATGTTTACTGTGGCACTTTCACAATAGCTAAGACATGGAATCAAACTAAATGTCCATCAGCCGATGCATGGATAAAGAAAAGGTGGTATATATACACAACTGAATACTATTCAACCATAAAAAGGAGAGAAATCCCATCATTTGCTGCAACATGGATAAGCCTGGAGGATATCATATTAAACAAAGTCAGGCACAGAAGATAAATGCTACATGTTCTCACTCGTGGGAGATAAAAAAAAATTTTGAGCTCATGGAAGTAGAGAGTAGAATCACATGTATTAGAGGCTGAGAAGAGTAGGGGAAAGATGTGGATAGGGGTTAGTGAACAGATAAAAAATTACAGCTAGATAGGAATAAGCTCTGGTGTTCTGCAGCACTCTAGGAAGAATACGGTTGACCATTATTTAATTGTATATTTTCAAAAGGCCAGAAGAGAGGATTTTTGAATGTTCCCAGCACAAAGAAATGATAAAATGTTTGAGGTGATAGATGTGCTAATTACCCTGATTTGATCATTATACATTGTATACAAATATTGAAATACTACTCTGTATTCCAAAAACATGTAGAATCATGTCTCAACTAAAAATAAAAGGGAGAACAATCACTCCACTCTACACATAAGATTTATGCATTTTACGTAAGTTATATCAACATAAAAGAAACTTTAAAAGAATCTTCAAAAGCTGTTTAAACAAGATTTTGGTAAATCCATGAATTTTATGGATTTCTAAGTTGGGCTGATTGATCCTTCCTTGAATTGGCTATAGAAAACTGGTCTAAATTTATTGCAAAACTTCAGAGCTGAAAAACTTAAGTGAATTTTCCAGGGAGAGAAAAAAAAAAATCTTGAAAATTTCTCCATATCTGCTTGGGTTCATCCAGATGCCAGAGAAGGATTCCTTAGGCAGATTTCTAAAAACAACTGAACTGTCGCCTTTACTTAAACTATGTTTAAAGAACATCTTCACCAAAAATGATTTTAATCTTCAGTTTTCTCCGGGAGATAAACTTTGGTTATATGGTAAATTTCCTAACGAATAACTCCTTGTTTTCAGAAGATGTCAGATGAAGTCAATAACAACCAGAACTATCGTGAAAATGTTAACAACCTTAGTCATTTAGAAAAGAAACTCTCTGCAACAAATATATATTGGCTTATCACTATAAATCAGATACAGTAGAAAAGTTATTACTAATCAGATTATTGCACAGCTTACCCTTTCTTGCCTACTCAGGTATTTGTTCCCTTGGATTAATAGGAAAATAAGTCTTCCAATATAACAACAACAACAACAACAACAAACTACTTAAAAATAAATCAAGGACTTCTAAGCAAGCAAGACAACAGACACTGAGTTTTGGACTCCCCTCAAATCTAACCATACAAGTATGTTAGAAATGCTGGGGGGCAACGGAGAGGCCAGTAGAAACAGAAGCCTACAAAGGTGATGGAACTGTATTGAATCTAGCACATAGTGAGTACCACTGAAGCTGGAAGTCTGAATGAGAGTGGTGGATTTTACCAACATCAGTGTATTTGTTTGCTAGGGCTGCCATAACAAAATACTTCAGACTGGGACCTGAAACAACAGAAGTTTATTTTCTGACAATTCTGGAGACTAGAAGTCTAAGATCAAAGTGTTGGCAGGCTTGGTTTCTTCTGAAGCCTCTCTCCTTGGCTTGCAGATGGCCCCCTCCTTGCTGTTTCCTTCACAGAGTTTTTCCCCTGAGTGCATGTCCCTAATGTCTCTTTTTATGTACAAATTTCCTTTTATAAGACACCACCAGACTGGTGTGTATAATAGGGCTCACTCCAGCAACCTTATCCTAACTTAACCACCTTTTTAAAAGCCCTAGCTTCCAAATACAGTTACATCAGGTATTGGAGGGTTGGGGCTTCAACATATGAATTTGCAGAGATACCACTCAGCCCATAAACCGTCAATATCCTGTTTGTAATATTACAAATATAATTTTGTAAAATGTTGCAACTGGGGGAAACTGAGCAAAGTATGCAAAGAACCTCTCTGTATTTTATCTTACAACTGCAAGTGAATCTACAATTATCTCCAAGGAGAAAATAAAAACTCCCACAGATGGGAGGATAACAAAATAGGTGGACAAGAGCAAAAGACAGAATGTTCAACAATATCAGGTGATAGGACAGCTCCATGGACACCAGGTAAGTATGCAGGGCTGAAACACCCACAAAAATAGAACTTACAGAGAATAAGGAACTAGGCAGATGAAGGGAGGTAAAAGAGAGTTCTAGTGATTCTAAAAGCTGGGAAAGAAGAAATTACCATAAAAAAGAGAAGACCCCTTTTAAGTGAAATTGTATCTAAGAACAACCAGTGAAGTTTGAGTTTCTGGGGGAGAATGCAAAACCACAAGGACTTAAGAGGCTTCAGGAAGAACACCATGGACTAGAATCCAAATTAAACAAAGAAGCATGAGCAGGAATAAAGGAAAGAGATACCCAAAGGAGGTTAATCTCAGAATACTACAGAGGAGGCTACATCAAGAAGCCACAAACAGAACCCATTTATGTAACCAGCAACCAGTTCAAGAAACAGAACCTTTCCAGCAGGCTCTACTTTCTCTGTTCTAGTCAACACTCCCTCAAGAGCAGTCCCTATTCTGGCTTCTAACAGAACAAAATGATTCTGCTTGTTTGAGGACATTCTATATATGAAGGCATACGGTATAAACTCTGCTCTGTCTGGCTTCTTTAGCTCAACATATGTCTGTGAGATTCATACATACTACTGCATGCATCTGTAGACTGTTTATTATTCTCATCGCTCTACAGTATTCCATTGTGTAAATATACCATGATGTATTTATTCAATCTGAGTCAGTTTAATATTGCTGTATAACAAATCACCTGAAAATTTAATGGCTTAAAACAACAATTTCTTATTTCTCACAATTCTATGTGTTTTCTAGGCAGTTTCTCCTCTGGCTTTACCTGGACTTGTTCATGTGGCTCTTTTAGCTGGAAGGTCAGCCAAACTATAAGGTCAAAGATGGCTTCACTCACAAGTCTGTCAGTAAGTACTACTGCTCATTGCCTGGGCACCACGATTGTCTTCCATGTAACCTCTCCTACTCCAGTATGTCCTTATGTCGTGGTCTCAGGGCATTTATTCCCCTGAGTATGTAAACACTTATCAAGCTTCTGTTGCATAATGCTTGGTAATATCCAACTGGCCAGAGCAAGTTACACAGCTAAAGTCAGACTCACTGTGGAAGGGTACAACAATGACTGATGGCTATCTGGACAGGTTTCAGTTTGGAGCAATGACAAATGTGCTATGAGCATTCTAGTCATTTGGGTGCATATGTATCTTAGACTACTGAGTCACAGGATTTGCAGCATATGTTCGGCTTTAGTAGATATAGTTATACAGCTTTCCAAATTGCTGTACCACTTTATGTTTCCATTCCAATTTACACTTCACAGAGCAGTGCAGGAGAATTTCAGCTACTCCACATCCTGATACTTGATATTTTTCATCATTCTCATTTAGCCATAATAGTGAGTGTACAATGGTACCTCATTTTTAATTGAGTGGCCATATTTTTAAAATACTTCAGATAAGCAGCAAAGGAGAAACTCTTCAAACCATAAAATCAGGAAAACTATCTTTGCCAATTTCTACCTCCATCATAGAAACCTTGTCCAAAAGTAACAGTAAGTCCATCTAATTTAAACATGACCAAGAGAGAACAATTAAATTTAAAAGTACAGTAAGAAAAAAAGATGAGAACTGTAACATATTTCAAAATGAATTAAGAGGAATTAAGAAAATAGCCAGGCACAGTGCCTCATGCCTGTAATCTCAGCACTTTGGGAGACCAAGACAGGAAGATCACTTGAGCCCAGGAGTTCAAGACCAGCCTGAACAGCATAGTGAAACCCATCTTCACCAAAAAAAAAAAAAAAAAATCAGCTGGCAGTGGTGGCACACATCCATAGTCCTAGCTACTTGGGAAGCTGAGGTAGGTGAATCCCTTGAGCCTTGGATGACAGAGCAAGGCCCTGACTCAAGAGAAAAAAGAAGAAAAAATGAAAAAAAAAA